TCTCACAAGTAAATGTTGCGTTCCTGAACAATAACTGGATTGGCATTTGAAAACCTTAAAATCCTACACAACAGTCTGAAGCCACCGTGGTGAAGTTTTAAATCTGTATTTCTGTTCATGCATGTACATTTGAAGGCAAATGGCACGTTCAGGGCATTCTAGCAATCTCTTGGTACTCAACAAACCTGCTGCTAGTCTAACATCTCCATTCTTTTGGCACCATGCGCTAGCATCATTTTTTGGCACCGTTCTCCTAGCAAGAGTGTTTTGACGGGTTCAGCTCCTGGTTAGGAACGAAGAGCCAGCCTGGTGGGGCTACTATTAAGAGACCTGTGCTCTACTGGGGCCTTGTAAGCCCAATGAAAAGTTGGAGCGTGCTCTTTTCAGCGCCAAGCTCGATTCCCCCAAGATCAGCACGGCTGGGCTCATGGTCTGGCACTGCTCTTAGCATTCTTTTTTTTTTTCCACACACGCTCTGCTGACAAGTAACACTTGGAGTGTCCTCTTCATTGACACATTCCAAAGAGGCTGAGGCTTAACCACCGCCTCTGTCTCTCCATGTCTGCTGACAGACAGCGAAAGCTTCCAGAAGAGCCTGCTTTCAAAACAGCCTGGTCTGCTCGTACACTTGATCCTCCTTTGAAAAGTTTGGGAACACAAAATGGTTGCTATTACATGCATCGATATGGAGCAAAAAAAAGATGAGTGATTGATAAATTGTCCTGACCATATTGAGTTAACCACCTGTTAGACTGGTCTATGTGCGCTGATGTTTCGCAGTCGGAGTAACATAATTGAATAAAATCAAACATACTTTGTAAGGAAATAGAGAAACCACTTAATGTAATCAAATCGACAGTGTACGTTTGGTGTAAAAATACACAGTCAAGACATTAGCTATCCAAGAGGCCTTTAAACACATCACAAATCAGACACCACATTTGTGTCTCAGCCTCGAAAAAGCTTGTTGCAGAACTGGCCATTCATCAGCCACAACCAGCCACCTTTTATGACATGGCTGAGTCAGCAGATCTGATGGGCATTACTGCCATTTGGAGAAGACATTAATCAAATCAGTATATATTAAACCAAATCAGGGCTTTCAAGACCATTTTGGTTATACCTACTTCATGGTCTGTATGCATATATTCTTTAGAATCTTTTGTTCCCTGTAACCAGCTACTGTAGAGCTTTTATTGTATACATATAATGCTAGTTTAAACAACAAAATAACGGTATAATACAGTTTTTATTATACAGTTTTATAATACAGAACTTAAGTTCAACATTGCTTTTGACATTTTCCTTTTAAATGTGTGTTTGAAATATTTTAGTAACAAAATATAGTGTATTGTTGTCATGAAAATTCGTTTTTCAGAAATTTGAAACCTACACCTACTACAGAAGTGGCTGTTTGAGTGATACCTATGAAGAAACACTTTTGGTTCCCAAAAGAACCATGTTTCAAAAAGAGATTTATGAGTGTAAAGAACCTTTTAGGGTAGGGGGGTCAAACTCGCTAAAGGGGCCATATTAAAAAATCTCAACAAATCTATGGGCCAGATAAAAAAAATGTTTTTATTTAATTTTTAATTAATGTTGTGCTAACACCCAAACTAGCCATTGTTTATTCCATGTACCCAAAAACTTCAGCAGTAAAATACAGGCACTTGTAGTAGACTTTGAAATATTACATGAATACTTGAAATATGTAATATTTAAATGTCCCCATGAGCTAGGTCTTTTAAACCTACTTATTTGCTTGAACTAGACACCTAGCATTCTTTCTTTGCTGCTCAGTTCAGTAATACATGTGCTCAATTTCTGAGCTGCTGAGCTGTCGTTGTGTTTATATTGGTTGAACTGCAGCTGAAATGCAGCTAGTGTATTTGGTGACATAACTGGTGTGGAATTGCATATAATTGTGTAGAATATCCCATAGATTGGTGTTGGGGTAGGAAAGTGCACATTATGTTCTGGTGCATGTTGAGATCCACTGGAACTGTAGTAAACAAAGGGGAGCAACAGAAGTCCAAGTATCGCATCTACACAAGGAACGATTAGTGTTCTCCTGATGTTCTCCATTTAAAGGCTACCAACAAACCTCTTATTGTGCACTAATATTCTGTAAATAGTCCCCAAAATACCATAATTTCCTGTAAACCATCTGCTATTAGTATGAACTGATTAACAGTTGTGGGCTGAGCTCACCAGCCTCCCTGGTGTTGTGACTCTGTGGTCAGGCGTTGGACCTTGGGGAGGGATTGCTTGCCCAGCTCACAATGTAATCAGGTCTCATCCAGGAGAGTGTGATTGTTCCATGGAGCCTCCTCCAGGTACAGTGCCGCTTTTGTTCCAGTAAGTCGGCGAGCTGAATGCAGTCCAGGAGGCTCGACGGGACCCCGGGAGCTATTCTATCAGGAGGCTTTGTGCTACCCACTGGCCCCTCTTCTGCCCTGTGGAACACTGGAGAATAGAGCTGGCATTTTAAACAGGGGACCCCCGCTCAGTGTAAGTTTACTGTCACTCAATGTGTGGCTCAACAAATGAGCCAAACACTGCGCCATCGCAAAATTCGAGAGATTGTTCTAAGCAGAAATGTTATTTTTTCCATTTTCTTGGTCGGTTGACTATGTGCTGTTATGCTTAATGACCCAAAAGTTAATGTTTAACATTTGCCTGATTTCTGCATTGGAAAATGGGATCTTTGTGAATGATGCTTTTTATCTTGTGTAGCTACAACATGGCTTTTTTTTTACTCTGAACATGTGACTGAGTAACACACTATGAATTGAGCCAAAGCTGAATGACCCTACTGTTAGAATTGTGTAGCTACAGAATCAAACTGTACTGCAAATTACATTATTCAGAAATCGACTCACCAAAAACACCTATACCTCGTATTAATAAAATGTTTAAAAATGTACATCTGCCTAAATTCCTTGCTTTTGTATCTACAGTATGATGTCAGTAAGCACACCACTTATGTGAGGCATGATATATTTCCTCACTGCTTCCCAGGGGGATAAACAATAGTCCACTAAACAATAAAAAACAGCCCACTTACCATAAATTGGTGAAACTGATCATAAATATATCAAAACAACATTCATTTTATGTAAAATCACTTGTATTTATGGCAGTTTGCATGTGCAGAAGTTTGAACAGAACTCAGTCACACCTAATTTTGATTGTTTCCTGTAGCTTATCTAGAAAAGCATAAATTGTCAAACAATCTGGTGAAATGCAGTTGATTATCAACAGTGTTAGGGTTAAGGGACCGAGGTTTAGCGTTAGGGTTAGGTTTAGTTTGTAGGTCGCGACTGATATTTGCTTTGAGGTGAGGGATTAGGGAAACATTACATTGTATAAACATTTAGTTAAATGTTATAAAAAAAATCTACAGAGATCCACAGTGGACCTCTGAAGTCATCTTTTCACATGAGGAGCCTTGCTCATGGAAACTTACACATTTCCATTTCTCTAGCTTCTTTTTGAAGAGCCCTGAAATTACATAAAAAAAAGCAATAGAAATTTCCTCCTCTAGCAGGCATTGTGTTCTGTTCATACACTGTCTTGATGCTTGATTAACTAGCAACACACCAGCCAAATACCTGTGGCCGGACGTAAAGGAAGCTCTAATGGAGCAAAATGCAGCAAATATTCCACATGCCATGCGAGCTTGACCATCCTAGCTTTGCCATGCAAGCGTGACCTGGTTTTCCTCACAATGTCAGGTTCACTAACTTGTAAGGCCTTTGTGTAATCTCGACCGGGTTATGAAAAATCCAGACACCGAAAGTCACCTCTTTTCATATTTCACAGCAGTGGTAGGCCATCCCACTTAAAAGCTGACAGCATAGATATGGCTATAAAAGCCCCCTTAGTGGGCTGAGTCAGTCTTTCTACAGATCCCACCTTATGACCAAACCAAAGAATGTGAAAAGTTACTGAAATAGACATGCTATCTCAAAAAATGTCAGGCTTCTCAAACAAATATCTGAATTCTATTGGTATCAGCAGTTTTTTACTTTAAATAATATCCACATTGGACGAATGTTTTGATTTTCAAAGCAATATTTGATGACGTATTTATTGTACTCTGTACTCTGGAAGAGCAGCGCATTTAGTTGACAATGGGCCTCTATGCTGAAATCTCTGCATTTAATTCATTGCACTGCATTTGTAACCCTACAGAAATAAATGTCCTCTGTAGTTCTCCACAGTGCTAATCCAAAGTGCTATATCCACACTAGAATAGCAGATGAAAATATCAGATATTGGCCCCATTCTAAAATAACTGCTGTGTCTGAGCTGTAGGCCTGATGTTGTAGACTACTTCCATTGATGTACTGCTGTATGGACCAGCCAAAGCTTTTGCAGTTAGTCATATCAGATCTTATCAGGCATAGCTTTCACTTCATAAAGCTAATATTAGTGTTCTAACAAACAGCAAAAAAAGAACACCAAATTGATAGACAATTTAAGAAAAATCTTCCAAAGGTGTCCCATGCGTTTACGTACAGTACGTCAAACTTTTATTATTGTTCAAATATTCCTGAAGATATAACCACATATGGCGTTGCTCTTACATCATTTTTAAGTCAAACGACAGGACACGTAAATTCTGATAGATCATTCGGAGTCGACAATACTCTTTTCCTCTTTTTTCTTTTTTTTCCTTTTTTTGTCTTTTTACTTCAGCAATTAAAGATACACAAAAGTGGCAGGTCGTTCGACAATAAATAATAAATTATTCTGTAATACAGGAACAAACAAACAAAAAAGAGAGAGAGAAACCTTCTCCACCGCTAGCTGAACATGTTAACTTAAAACTATACACATCTTTGGGAAAGAGAGAGAGAGAGAGAAAGAGAGAGAGAGAGAGAGAGAAGAAAACTCTTGGACGGACACGAAAACACATGAAGTTCCCACGCAGCTTCGTGGTAAAATAGAGGTATACCTTGTTGCAATGCTTTAGTACTCGGGCTTCAAAAAGAGAGAGAGACCATAGAACAGAAGAAAAAACCTGTAAAAGCAGTAGTCCTCAGATGTAGATGCTTGTGAACGCTAATCGCAGTTTTAGAGTTTTAGAGAAACCGTACAGACAGTCACTGGTTGGTTCGTTTATAGGCTACTCATGCTGCGCGCGCCGGTTGCTTATATTAATATCAGTCCTCTTTCAAGAGGGTCACTGATTTGTCCAAAAAAAGAAAAAACTGGGGGTGTTTGGCAAAAAAATGTGTATTCGAGCAGTTCCACCGCGCAGTAATGAGATTCATCCATCTTTTCCTCAACCAATGTCTTCCTCCCCAAAAAAACAAAGGAGTCGCCCAGAGCGCTCAGTCCGTTCCAGCAGCGTTTCGTTCCCATGATTGTCATCACAGTGTATGAAGACACGCAGCCGAGGGCTTGTGTGGAGAGCGAGAGTGAGAGAGAGAAGGAGGAAACGGGGGGCGCAGGCACCCCCCCTCACTCCTCCTGTCCTTCAGCTGCTGGAACACAAGGTAATCCAACATCGCCTAGGCCTCTATAGGACTGGCCACCATGCTGTTTGGGGTGTCTGGCAGTTGGGAGGACATGGATGCCACTTCGCTCCCTGTCGAGTTTGAGCCCGGACCTCCTTCAGAAAAATTCACCTGCAACACATCACAATGCATTGTTATTATTAGGGGTCCAAGCACAAACCAATAGTTAGTTTTCCTATTATAGCTATTAGGGCTGTTTTCTGCTTAAAAGAGAAATTCAAAAATTCTGCATGATTCAATCATTAACATGTAAACAATGACATTCAGAGTGGTTTGATGTGAAATGGTTGACTGTAGAGAATTTTAGTGTGATTTCTTTACAGTGGTGGTGATGGGAACAAAGGGGTAGCAATGTCTTCAACACAATATAGCCATTTTATTTTCTATCCAAAACCACCAGTAAACCTACATGTGTCTTCTGAGTTGTAATATGTAATGTTGATAATGGTAAAATAGTGCTAGTTTATCTTTTGCCTTATAACACCCTGTCTGTCATGAAGGCATTAAAAAATGCTTTTAGGCCAGAACTTTCGTAAAAAAATGTCTCAAGCAACAGACGTATGCTATGTATTCAAAACTGTTTAATGTAGTAGTTTTCAGTGATATAGCTTTCATAGGCATAAAACCCTTCAGATATCTGATTCCTATCACCACCACTGTGAACAATTCTGACTGATCTTAGCAAATTAATTATAAAGAAAATTTTGGAGAAAAAGGTGAAATTCCCCTTTAAAGGCAATATAAACAGTCACTTAGAGCCCACAAGCCACCAGAGAGGCCATGGGAATGTAGGCTTTTTTGTTTGTTTGTTTTTAACATGGTGTTACTGATCAGAATTCATGAGTATTATTTTTTTTCATTTTTCCATACACACTAATATGACTGGGGTAACTCCGTGTCCACTGAAGTTGTTGCTTAGGGCGCCAAAATTTTCAGACACAGCACTGATTGCTATCATTGTTAATGAGTTATTATTATTAGTAACAGTAACAATAAGAGTAATAGTACACTTGTATAAAAATGGTTCTCTATTGTCCCAAAAATGTTTTTTGATTTGTAACAAAAGTAGAATCCATTTTTAAAAGGTTAAGAACAATATACAAGAACCATCTAACCATGCAAAGAACCAATTAAACTTTCAAAGGGTGCTATAAGTTGTCATTGATCTCACTGTCTCTCTTTCTCTCTCTCTCTCTCTCTATATATATATATCTATATATATATATTTATATATCTATATATATATATCTATATATATATATATATATATATATATATATATATATATGTATATATACACACAAATAAAACTGTTAAATTTACTACAGAGCCTTTGAAGAACCCCCCTTTTTTAGGAGTGTAGTTGCAACAATAAGCAGCATTTCAGAATTCTAGTTTCCACTACTAATGACGTTGTCAGGAAAAATTCCTTAACTAAGACTCAAAGTTCAAAGAGAAAGCCCATCCATCTCTAACTAAGCAGCTATGAAATTAACAGGCAGTGGCAGTATTCTTAAAGCAGTAGTAGCAGAAGTGTTTGTCTTGAGCTCTAGTAGTCTTAATATCATAGCATAATTAAACAGTGTAAGCGTTAGTGATGGTAGTAGTAGTATTGAGTAGCTACTAATTATAGTAGCCTATTATTGAACAGGACAGTATTAGGAGTAAGAAGTAATTATATCACTGTTGAGCAGTTCTAGTATTGTGCTAGAACTGTAGTAAATGTAACTGAACATTAGGCCTGTTAGTGTTTTTATATAGTAAATGTATCTGAACAGTAGGCCTGTTAGTGTTGTTATATAGTAAATGTATCTGAACAGTAGGCCTGTTAGTGTTGTTATATAGTAAATGTAACTGAACCTTAGGCCTGTTAGTGTTGTTATATAGTAAATGTATCTGAACAGTAGGCCTGTTAGTGTTGTTATATAGTAAATGTAACTGAACCTTAGGCCTGTTAGTGTTGTTATATAGTAAGTGTAACTGAACAGTAGGCCTGTTAGTGTTGTTATATAGTAAATGTATCTGAACAGTAGGCCTGTTAGTGTTGTTATATAGTAAGTGTAACTGAACAGTAGGCCTGTTTGTGTTGTTATATAGTAAGTGTAACTGAACAGTAGGCCTGTTAGTGTTTTTATATTGTAAATGTATCTGAACAGTAGGCCTGTTAGTGTTGTTATATAGTAAATGTATCTGAACAGTAGGCCTGTTTGTGTTGTTATATAGTAAATGTATCTGAACAGTAGGCCTGTTTGTGTTGTTATATAGTAAATGTATCTGAACAGTAGGCCTGTTAGTGTTGTTATATAGTAAATGTATCTGAACAGTAGGCCTGTTTGTGTTGTTATATAGTAAATGTTTCTGAGCAGTAGCTCTGTTAGTGTTGTTATACAGTAGTTAGGAGTCTTATAGAGCAGCAGCAGTAGTTAGTTCGCCCTTCAGGCCTGTATTTTTCCCCCACACTCACCAGTTGCTGGAAGGCAGGCTGGTCGATGTCGCTCTGCAGTGCGAAGTCACTGAGGACCTTCCAGGGCGCCTGGTACGTTTGCACCTCCACTTGGCTCGCCTGCAAACCGCCGTCATGTCTCTCGGGACTGGCCGCCACCATCGGAGTGCCCGTCATGCCTTGGATGTTCTGCGCACAGGCCCGACAGGCACGGTCACCATTTTGGCACAAATATATTTAGTTTACTCCTACGCGCACGTAAATGCATTGTTGTTGATTTTTTGTTTTTGTTTTGTTTTTCCATCGCTCGCGCGCTCTTACCGTCTTGTCGTTGGGCTGCTGCTGCTGCAGCTGCTTCATCAGCAGGCTGCGCTTCTTGTCCTTGCAGCGCTTGTTCTGGAACCAGACGCGGATGACCCGCGGGCTCAGGCCCGTCATCTCCACCAGCTGCTCCTTCATCAGCGCGTCCGGCCGCGGGTTCGCATTGTAGCACGTCCGCAGCGTGTGCAGCTGCTTCTCGTTGAGCACGGTGCGCACGCGCGTCGTCTTCTCGGGCTGCTTGTGCACGTGCGGCCGCAGCGCGGGCTGCCTCGCCGAGATGGGCTCCGCTACGGGAAACAAACAAACAAACAAATAAACAAAAAAACTCAGGAAACTCTGAAAGTCGAAGGCCGCTCGGTTGCGCTTATTTCAGCATATCTGACAGAAGCTAAGAACACACTAAAAAAGAAGGGTTCTTTAGTAAAGGCAGTGGTTCTGTTCAGAACCGCTTCATGTTTAAATGGTTCTCTGCATGGAGAAATGGTTCTTCAGATTGATGGAAAATATGGTGCAGTGATAAAACCTCGTACCTCCGAAATGGTAACTTAACAGGAGATGGAAAAACATTCTTAACTGTGAATAGAAGTCAATGGAACAAGAGTTTTATTCAAGTCATCTTGGCGCATATCTGTTGTTCCTGTTGTAGTGAAATTTTAACACGCTATAAATGTCAGCTGGCTTTTTCCAATTCTTAAAAAAAAATAAAATAAAAAACGACAAAAGTGGAGACACAGGGATTTGTAGCGAGTTATATCTAGAACATTATTGGAAAACGGTTCCATCTAGCACAAATGGGTTCTTCTATTATTACAAGCTTGACATTGTAGCAATAGCAGAACCCTTTTTGGTGCTATATAGAACCATATACATTCAACACATTCTCCATCAATCTGAAGATCAGTTTCACCAGGCAGAGAACCATAGCCTCTACCAAAGAACCCTTGAAGAACCATCTTTAAGAGTGTACGATGGTTGAAAGTCTGAAGATCCCACTAAAACTCATTATTTGCCGTGGTTTAGTGGGTGAGAAACCCCGCATCTCCAGTAATAATACAACATTAAAAATGTGAGAAACGCATTAAAAGCGTCGCCAACATTCACTTTGCTCAAGCAACAGGACGAAGCAGCAGCTTTGAGTGCGCGGCTGTAAGACCACCACTCTCCAGAGTTAGGACACCTCCTGTGCATCTCTGCTCGTGTTTCATCGGCTCTTACTGTCTCCTCGCTTGTTGAAATATTCAACAAAACGAATTAGAATTTGTGATTATTCCAGAAAACAGCTTCGCCTGCGTTGTAATGGGCTAAACAAAGACCACCGCAACTGCTCAATGCTTTCTTATGGCTGGTTTCTGGTGAGCTAATGTGGATGTAGCATACAAGACTGAGCATTACCGCCAAACAAGCAACAATATAAATATGGTATATGTATATTAAAGGTAAAATATAATTTATAGAATAGTGATATTGTGTTCAGTGTATATACACAACATTAGTTTACATTATAACTTGATATGTTATCTGTCAATAATCAACTGGGCCGCCACTGTGGTACTGTAATAACAGAGTCTGTACACATAATTCATAAAGTATGATAACAAACAGCGGCGTGACTTGGATCTTAGTGAGAGAAATAATAAATGCTCTGTAAGAAAATTAATTGTTAGAAAATTAATTGTTAATTATGATTTAACCAAGATGGTGCTATAAT